ATCACCAATCACAGCACTGCATCTCATCGCGCGCACATTGACGCAACAATCACTTATTAAATAACTCATATTATGACACAATAAATAATGGACTCTGAGCTTTAATGTGTAAATGATTTTTGAACGCTTTTTATTAATATTATTATTTAGTGCATTACACATTTGAACAGTCATGTTTTAAATACGTCGTTAAATTTTATACTTTTTAATATATAAATATATATTAACATAAAAGTCGTTTTATAACTTTTTATAAAATTAATTAGCGGTTAATATTTCACGGAATATTCTGCGATGGTTCCACCGGAAGCGTGAAGGTCATTCAGTTCACTTCAGAACGTCTGACGGTTCGTGCCTTAAATCGGTTCCGATTTGACCAACACTGCGCTCAGCCGCAACCTCCACAGAACACACACTATTCCTGCTAACAGCAAACTTATTCACACATCCATATTAAACTGCACAGCCAGAGCTGAGGCTCCGCAGGTCCCGGGGGTCTACTCTACAGTTCAACAACTCACTCCAACAGATCTCCTGTCACACTCGAGCGTAAAAACACACCGTTCCGGTCAAATGCGTGCGTGTTTGAGTTATTACCTGCGGGCGATTCGGGTCGGCGTCGGTCTCGGCGTCTGACGAGGCGTGAGTGTGCGTTCCAACCTCGGCCTCACAATTTATAGACGGTCTCTCAGCACCGTCCCGTATATGGGAAGAGCCTTAGGGAGCGTCTACAAACACCGAGCATTTACACAGTTTCAGGACACGCCCACATCTCTGATGTTTTCAAAGTAATCAAATATAAATGCCATCATAACTAGTCACTAGTCTGCCTTTATAAACAGTGCAGAACATAAATCATGCACACATCATGCCCGAAGGCATTAAATTAAGCCGCTAATGCAGTGTAGTGCCAGTGTCTGACATTCTACCAAATCAATCTTTGTATTTTGAAGTTAAGAATCACTTACTCTAGATATGTTTGGACTGGAATGCTAACATACTGCTTAATGCATACTTAGTGTATATCATAAGTCACTATTATTTAAAAAAAAAAAAGGTAAATAGTATGCAACGACAAATGTTACGTTTTTTCCCATGCAGTGGTTGTATACTGTACATTAAGTAGCCGGTGTATTCCATGCATACTGAACATTAGCAAACTGTTCACAATATACAACTGCATACTGCAAAAATAGTAAAATGGTTGTATGACAAAGTCACCAAAGGTCTATTTAATTGTTATGGCCTGAGATCTGGAGGTCAGGAGGTCACCACCATACAACAGAAATAAAAAAGTATTTTCAAATTTATTTTTAAAAATATTCAGAAATTCACAACAATAATATATTTGATCAAATTTGTTTCAAAATATATTTACATAAATATATTTTCTATCAATATATATTTTGGCCGTTTTTTTGTATATTTTTGAAATATGAAAATTATAAATCTATTTTTTAAAAGCATTTATTCTGCCTTCTATATTTTTCAGTCCAAGAAAATGCATTTGCATATGTCTCATTGGAAGAAAAACTTGATTTGTTGAACATTTAAAAATATATATTTGCCCTACATTTATTTCAGTCCAAGAAAACACATTCACATATGTAACATGTAAAGAATAACTGTGTTGGTTGTCTATAACACGTGTCAACATATAACTCATTTGAAAAATTAAAATCAGCAAGGAACAAACTTTACAATGTTCCAGAAAAATTACAATATTACAATACATAAAAAACATTGTTAAATAAGAAACATTATTATTATTCCATCCACATTTGCATTTAGCCTAACTATAGTCCACCTTCATATTGGAAATGTGTTTTATTGCTCCTGAAATACATAGATTTTGATATATGAGGGTTGAAACTTGAGCTTCACTTTTGCAACATATATTTAGCATATATTCCCATAAATTCCCAATGTTTTGTTAAATATGTTGTCGATCTGATTTTGTCTCATTGACGTCTGATGTCTTCATGGAGGTCTTTTCCTTTCAGCCGAGGCGTGGAAACACTCAGACCGTCCCTCGTCGAGCTCCGGGCCTGAATGAAAGGTCAGGGTTGAATTAAAGAGAGAAATGTGAGAGTGAGTTTGGGTTTGGACCTAAATGGCATCTATGATGATCACAAGCACACACGCTGCTCTTTCCCCGTGTTTCTCCCTCTCTAGCATTTAACACCAGGCTAAAATTAGTCTCACTATCATGAGAGACACTTGTGTTGTCTTGGAGCAGCACGACATCCACAGATTCCCTCGGATTCACAACGTTCAGCTCTTGTGTATGGAGTTCCATTTGTGCCACAAAAGTGTCGACTGCTGTATTTGTGTTGTGCCAGTTTCTGCTCTCAGTGAACGTTCTGCGACACATTGTTGCGTTCTAAAACTTTCCGATGCATTAATCTTTCTCGCAGCTAACAAAAACATGTTGTACGAACATTTCGCTAACGTTCCCATTAAGTTATGAAAACGTTATTTCAGAATGTTCTCTGAACGTTGAGTTTTTTAAATGTTTTAGAAATGTTTTTTTCTTGGTTCTGCAAACATTTAGGGAACATTCCATTTGATCATGTTACGAACATTACGGAAACGTTACTTTTGAATGTTTTCTGAACGTTCCGAAACATTTAAAAACATTTGAAGAACGTTTGGAAAAAACTATTCCATAAACAATGTACAGATGATGTTTTTGTGTTAACATTTTGAGGACCAGATAACTTTGAACAAATGTTCTATTAATGTTACTGGAAGAACGTTTGTTCATAACTTTGAGAGAACCTTTCCAGAATGTTTTGAGAATGTTTCCTGTTAGCTGAGAGAACAAGACAGCATAAACGCGTTCACCATGTTTAAATGCATTATCTGCTGGTAATTCTGCACAAACTCAACGCAGCACATGCAAAGCAGTCACAGTAAGAGGTTGAGCAGATTATTTGAATGAAATACTCAAATCTCTCAGTGGACAAACGACATTCAGAACAGAGAGAGAGAGAGAGAATCAGACTGAGCTGCTGTCACACATCAATGCCACATGATGGCGCTGCACTGTGAGTGTGTGTGTGTGTGTGTGTGTGTATGTATGTGTATATATATATATATACATATATATATATTTATATTTAGTCATTTAGCAGACGCTTTTATCCAAAGCAATTTACAAATGAGGACAATAGAAGCAATCAAAACCAACAAAAGAGCAGTAATATGCAAGTTC